CTTCCTCACAGGTGTCCTTTGATCTGGGGATTCTCACAGTCTCAAGTATACGTGTTATCTTAGAAATGCATGTTATCAGCTAAGCACTGCAAAGCCTATTGCCTACTACCGCTGTAAAAGGTTAGGAATGCGTATTATCAGCAATTCACAGCCTGTTGCCTATTACCGCTGTAAAAACAAACTTCTTTGAAACAAATTACTATCTGCAGCTGCATCGAACAAAAAGGTCACCCTTCTCTTACAAGAGCAGCAAAAGGTAAGAGAGACTTTGGGCTGGTTTAGCTCCAGGGACTCGAGGGGGTCTGGATGCCTGGAGAAGTAAGATCTTCATCCCAGCATTTACATTCCTGGTCTGAAGCCAAGCAGGGAACAGGGACTGACAAACTGCCAGGGCAATTGGGGAGGGCTGGCTTATAACCAGGAGGGGCGACAGGACAGCACCTGAGCTGTAGTCGAGATGTAAGGAAGTGATCTGCACCAGTGCACGGCAGAGAAGGAGTTCACTGACAAAACTCTGGGAGGGGCTGAGGGTATAAAAGGCAGAGCATCCATTTTGTAAATGTGCACGAGGCTGATAGCCCCAGAGACCCCAGTGCTGTAATTTTTCCTTATTGAGTCTGTCGTATTTTTTTTGTTAAGGTTTAATAAACCTGTAAAATTTTAAAAGTGAGGGTCATTTCTCACATCTTCAATTGACAGTCCAAAAGTCTCACCTTCATCATTTGTGATGATTTCCAGGAGTCCAGGGCAATTTGGATTTCCCAATCGACTTTCTAGTATAATGTTATAATTAACAAATATAGGTATTGGATTTCACATTCATGTACCAACTTTCATTTTTCAAGTTATTGTTATGTATAGTAAATATAATTCGCGCCATTCCTTGTATGAAATATGTAATATTGGATGCTTGTTAAATCATGCCCGTTGTATTAGTTCCTCCCCCCCCTTCCCCCCCTTTTGTAGGTGAGACTTGAGTGCATACTGGAAACTGATTTACAAGTAAACAGATGTGGCCCGGCCGGGAGATGGGCCATTGTCTGCTGATCGTCTGTGCTGATCGTCCAAGATGGATATCATGGAAATACTCAGACAGATCCATATGAAAGAAGCCTTCCCGTAAACGCCTAACATTGAATTTTTCTCCTCATCACCAAAAAGAAATCCTTATTAACATATGGACTCCGAATAGAAGAAAGGACTGATTGCTAAAACCTTGGCCTCAGGCAGAATTTTCCCTATAAAAACCGCCTGTGCCAGGATGGAGGTGTGTGGGCATAGGGGAAAACCTCTGCTGAGGCTGACTCCTTGTTGCACACCCAGGGTCGACCCCGGGCTCGGCTCTGTCCTTTCTGTGTGGCTGGCTAGATAGAATTTGACCGCTAATAAAATTATTTTTATTTTTTAATTTGGCTAAAATAAACTCTCGTTTATAACATTATTATTGATCACAAGAATTGTGATATAGTACACATTGTAATTACTGATTTTGATATAGTATAACCTGTCAGTTTACATATGCACCATATAGGTTCTATAAATAGAGGTGTAATAGATACTGTCTTAGAGCATAGAATAATAGAGACTGAAATATTGAAGTTAGTTACATGAGAAAATAACTCAGAAAATGGTGTAAAATAATTAAGTGATTTCCCATATTCAGGGGCTTTCTTATCTGAAAGACAAGATCATGGAAGTGAAAATACAACAAGATAGAACCACAAGAAAAAATAAAATATCTTAGTTTAATCAAGAACATGACATGAAGTCATGTCAAAGGTTAAAACCAAGCAAAAGAACATGTAAATTCAATCAAATGTTTGAACATGTATAAACTCTTATAAATATGCATCTACCCCCGGTAGTGTAACACTATATAGATAATATAGTTTAAGTTAACTGTATGCAAATAGCCAAGCATCCCAGGGTGGGATTTTATTCCTCTTATCCCTTAATAAAAATTAAATTTGAAATTGTGAGTTGTGTCTCTAACATATGAGGGCAATCCACTCACTCCAGGAAGCATCAGTGGCAGTTTCCATTGCAGAGACTTTTTCTTTGCACACTGTAAGAGATGGTCCAAAGATCCCTCATCTGCCTCACAACCGTCAAGGACAAAGATTGAAGCCCCCCAAGAACTGAGACTGAGACCCTTAAAATTCTAACACGGGGGTGCTGGCCGGACTGAAGCGGGATGTCTGCCAAGTGTTATCTGCAGATGGGCTCACTGGGCCCAGACTGGTGTCCCATGGAAACCAGTCCCGAAGCAATGGGTCATGCTCCCTGCTGGGACTGATTTGTCCTGTTCAGAACTGCACTGTCTGTACTTGTTCTCAATGGACTTATTCTCCACTATCCTGTACCTGCTCCCTCGACAGGCTATAAAAGACACCGGAGCTAACCAAAGACTTTGAGATTCTCCCCGCTTTTCCCACTCCCGGGTGGCTCCGCTTTTCGCACTGCCGGGTGGCTCCGCTTTTCCCACTCCAGGGTGGCTCCGCTTTTCCGGCGCGGCACGGTGGCTCAGGTTTTCCCCCGGGCGACCTCATTCCGCCACTGTCGCTCCCCCCCTGCGGCGGAGCGAAGCCCCCGGCATTTTCCGGAAAGTCTCTGACTGCCTCTGGTTACTGAAGCCTCACTCAGAGTGTTTTAGAATGCCTTAAAAATGCGTTGAAATGTTTTTTGGGTTTTTGTTGGTTTTTTTGGTTTTTTTTTATAGTTAATATTTTGTGTTTCGTGGACTCTGATTTCTCTGAGAATTGTTACTGGAGAGATTCAAAGCGCTAAATGCAGTGCTTTGTTATTATTATGTGCAGCATAGCACAATTTCTTTAACAGATAATTTTAATTAATGGTGATAACATTTACCATATCATGTTATACTACATACAATATCGAGAAGCTCCCGGTTTGTTGGACAGTTTGCCAAATTCTACGTTGTTGTTTCTTTCAGTACAATTGCACTTTAAAAGGCCTAAGTAAATTTATGGTTCCATAAAGCTTGTGGCTACCATGAGTTTTTCTCAGTGTTAAATTACATAGGGTCAAGGTATTTGTCACACTTTTCTCATCCCTCCAGTAATCCATCATGCTGTTATTTCAGCCACGCTTTGTTGACATGTTCAGTGCCTTTTGGTATTAATAGCACCAGAATAAGTTACATTTTGCTGTACCCAGAACTTTTAAGGATATTAATTGTTAGGTTGGTTACATTTTATTTGAACCTGATTTTAGTGTTGGTAAGATTAAGCCAAGTTAGATCTGAGTATGTTATATTTTATAACTCTATTGAGTTTATTTTGTTAAGCGTAATTTATGTTAAGGTGGATTTCTGTCAGGTTTGAGTGTTGCTGAATTTGGACGAGGTCAAGTTTCAATCTTCTTCACTAAAGAATTTCTTGTTCTAGTCCAGTTTTAATAAGATCAGTTTTTATTCAGTATTAAAGATGTCAACTTTAAGTTCTCTTAAGTGTACCTCTAATTCTACTGAGGTGACATTGAATTACACTGCAATCAATTTTAAGTCCTAAGTTAATTTTGTTTAAATATGTTTGTTTATATTGCAAGATATAGTTATTTTCTTCTAGAGATAAGACGAATCTAACTGAAACAGCTGTGATGAAACTGATGAACACCTGCTTTTGGACAGAAGAGGATACAGTTTGTTGAGCCCCTGATCTTCTCGCAGATTCTTCCACAGGTGTCAGTGCTGCACTGCCTAACAGGATCATTTATTGAGATCTCTTCTGTTTTATCTTCTATAGATAACACAGGAGAGTGGGTTCTTGTTCTACATTATGACTGTTATCCATTGTAAACTGTTCAGGGGTTCATTGTTATGGATACATGAATGCTTGGAAGAATATTGTCTCTCAAATTCCTGAGACAGTTACTGTTGATACATTGGTTCCATAATGTGAATTCACTAATTTTTATATCAGGAATTATTTATAAGACATGATTACCTTATTTATAACTGGCTTTTCAAAAACTTTGACATATCTTTGTGTAACTACCTACGAGACACGTGTCATTGTGGGATCTCTCTTTTCTGTTCTCTAGCTGCAGATGCCTCTCTTTGAACAGGCTGCCCTACTGCCTAAACAAGGAGTGCACAAGGCTCCTTCACTCCCTGACAGGGTTATTCTTGGAGCCTTGGAGAAAGGCTTTAAAGCAGCACAGAGCTTGTTAAGCACCAACAACTTCATCAAAAATGCAAATCAATAGCCTGGGCAGAGCCTGACTTTAAGATGTGATTTAAAACTGAATGAAAGAGCAGTTGCATTGCCAATTGACAAGATTAGGAAGGCTTCCTTAGTAGTTGTTGAGATGACAAAGTAAGGGAGACGACAGAACATGAAGAGGGGGAAAGAAACGAGAAAATCTTCATTTGCACAGTGTTTTTTAACCGTCATGGTCACATCCCAAGGACTTGTAGAAACCGTTCTAATCACAAGAAAGGAAAAAATTCTGGATATTTTTGATCTCAGCAAGCGCCTAAGGAAGCCCTCAGCAGCAGGGGATTGGGAGAACTGCAGGGCTGGTTTCTTGAGCAGAGGGAGCAGGGTGTGCTCCTCAAAGGCAGACCTTCACCCACAGCAACCAGAAGATAGAAAAACAAGGATACAACAAAGCCTTAAGTGGGAAACGGGTTATCAAGGGTTTTCTAAGGGAAGCCCTGGCTCTGGGAAACAGGACCTGGAAGGTGAGAGAGGAAGGAAAAAGGGAGGCAGCTGAGGCCTCTTCAGATTCAAACAGAAAACACAAGAGAAAGGAGGAGGAAAAAAAGGTTGGGACTAAACTCTAACCCCGGCGGCACAGCCGCTTCGGTCCCTGCCTGTGAACACGGAGCCGCTCCTCGCAGAGAGCGCAGGGCTGCCGCCGCCATCGCGCCGCTGCTCGCCGGGGGCGGAGCGCGGCCCCGGCGCGATGGAGGCGCTGCGGCGGCCGGCGCTGCCCGAGGGCGGTGCGCTACCGCCTGTTCGCGGCGGCGGCGGCGGGCCCGGGCGGCGAGGCGCTGCCGCGGCGCTGCGCTGAGCTGGCCCTGCTGCGCTTCGCCCCGCTCCTGCCCGCCTACGTGTGGCAGCGGCAGCCGTTCCGCCTGCGCTACGTGCCGCGCCGCGGTGAGCCGGGAGCGGGCCGGGAGGCGCGGCGGGAGGAGCGCCCGGAGCGGCGGCACTGGGAGGGGGACCCGGGAACCGGGAGCGTGTGAGGGGAACTGCGGGCCTGCGACGGGGACTCGACGGCCGGGAACCTACGGCGTGTGAGGGAGAACCGAGGGAGTGTGAGGGGGACCCCGCGGCCGGGAGCGGGGATCATTTGAGGGGGACCCGGCGGGTTCGAACCGGGAGCGTGTGAGGGGGAACTGCCGGTGTATGAGGGGGACACGGCGACCGGGAGCCGGGAGCCTCTGAGGGGGAACGGAGGGCGTGTGAGGGGAACAGGGAGCGTGTGCGGGGGAACTGTGGGCATGTGAAGGGGACTCGGCGGCCGGGAACCGACGGCGTGTGAGGGAGAACCGAGGGAGTGTGAGGGGCTCCCGGCGGCCGGGAACCGACGGCGTGTGAGGGGGATCCGGCGGGCTTGAACCGGGAGCGTCTGAGGCGTAACTGCGGGCATATGAGGGGGATACGGTGGCCAGGAACCGAGAGCGTGTGAGGGAGACCCGACGGCCGGGAGCCTCTGAGGAGGAACCGGAGCTTGTGCGGGGAACCGGGAGCGTGTGAGGGGTGACGCGGCGGCTCCACAGACTCCTCTCAGTGTCACGGCAGGGTTAACCCAGTGGGGCATCTGGTGCCACCTCCCCGCTGTAGCAGCGTCATCGCAGAGCACAGGACTCAAGATTGCTCAGCAGGGTCTGGAGTATCCCCAGGGGGGGAGACTCCGCAGCCTGTGTGGACAATCTGTTCCTGGGCAGGGGCTGCTGAGCCGCCCCTCCTCGATGTGCCCCGTCCAGGCGCACATCGGCGGCACCACCGTGTTCGGGGATAACGTGGAGGATGAGTGGTTCATTGTGTACCTGCTCCGGGAGATCACCAGGGAGTTCCCGGGGCTGGCAGCCAGGTAAGGCGGGTCCTGCTGAGGTGCTTTAGTGGGAGGGCTGCGAAGGGGCAGTGCCTATGCTGTGAAGGTCCTGTCTTAACATTCCCCGTCCTTGGGAGCTGTTTCCCCATCCCATACACGTTTGAGGTGTCCAAGGGCAGGTTGGATGGGACTTGGAGCAACCTGGGCTAGTGGAAGGTGTGCCTGCCTGTGGCAGGGGTGTTGGAATCAGATGATCTTCTAGGTCCCTTCTAACCTAAGCCTTTCTGTAGGTCTATGAATGTTAAAAATCCCCAGCAGACATGGATTCAGAAGTGTGGTGTTGTGCTCTGCAAAGCTTTTCCTGCTAAGAAACCAATTTCTCCTTGGCCAGGATTGATGACAACGATGGAGAGTTTCTCTTGATAGAAGCTGCTGATTTTCTCCCAAAGTGGCTGAATCCTGAGAACAGTGAAAACAGGGTGAATAAAACTTGTGTGCAGTTGGCAATGGGGCCACAGTGGCCTTTTATGTAGCCAGCTGGCATTTTCTCTTGCACTTCTAGCCAAATGGTCAGACTGCCTCTGAAGACACAGAGTGCTATCTGTCCCTTACTGATACTCTCTTCACGAGCACTCCTGTGTCCCCCTGAACTTTCTAGCTCTGCTAGAACCACTTGGATGATTTTTTAAAATTATATTTTACCATGTTCTGGAGTGTTTAGGCAAGAGGATTTGCTGCCCTCAGAGAGAGAATGCAGGAGTGTTGCTCTCTCTGTAAGGAAACAGGCTTTGTCTGGTAGAGGTGAAATAATGAACAGACACCTTCACCTGGATATGGATGGATGCTAATGGCAATGGATTTAAAATGGATTAAAATGGAGATAATTAATTTGGTCATTAGCAAAATATTGTTCAATTATTTTTCCCCTACTCCAAGTTCCTAAAAATGGATGGAATACAACCCAAAAATTTATTGCAAGAGTGTGCCAGGCTCATATTTTGTTTGAGGGAACAGTGAGGGAGTTGAGAACATTGCAGTCAGGGCATTTCTTAGGATCAGGAACCAGCAGAGGTCGCATGTAGCACCAGAAATAATGCTTTTTAATCCCTGTGATGTTCTGAAGCAGTTAGGTTATGCTGGTTCTCCTGAAGCACTTTTCTAGTTGAAGAGAAACTTGGTATTACTGTTATTAAGGAAACAAGATATCTTTGATGAAACTTGTTGCAGGTAAAATTGGGATTTTTACTGTTTGCATCGTGGTCTCTGGCATCCCAAATCACTTTTGTAAAAAAGCTGTGCTGCTCCCTGTATTGGTTCTCTATTTGTACTGTATATTCTCTGTGTTCAGGCAGATGCATTTGTATATGAAATGAAATTTCCCACCCCTCTCTGTGTGTGAGTGCTCTTACCCTGTGTGATGAGAGCACTGCTGCCTGCCAGGTGTTCTTTTACAAAGGAGAGCTGCACATCATTCCGCTGTCGGAGCCTTCGGAGCAGGACTGGCCCCTCTCTGCTCCCTGTCCCACGGTGCCGCAGGCGCTGGCGCTGTTATCCACCCGCTCCGAGGAGTTCCTGGCTGCAGAGCCCATCAGAGCTGCTCTGTACAAACACATCCAAGGGTACATGGGGGCTGCATTTCGGTCCTCTGCAACAGTGGGGTTTGCTTCTGTGCTCTCTGGGCTTTAAACATTTCCCCAACAGATGTGCTAGAGCTGGTTCCTCTTCAGAAACCAGCAGCCAAAGGTTTTTCTGTGGCACTCTTGGAAAGAGGGGGATCAGTGTCTTGTAGGCTGTGATCTGGGGATCTGGAACTGGTTCACTGCTGTAATTCCACCACTGACAATTACAAGAGTTACTCTTCCTTCACATCCTTCTTATACTGAAAAATCTGACAGTTCCGTGATATTTTAGGAGCCCTGTTCACAAAGAAAAAGAGTATTTGAGCTCAAATGTAGAAGCAGCAGAGCTGTCAGAGCTTCAGCTTGTCAAAGCTGTGTTCAGCCCTGTGCTTTATTTTTTGCAAGGATTTTACAGCATAACTTTCCCAGAGTATGGTGAAGAATACTGCATAGCTGGATATGTTGGTTAAGTTCACAGGGACTCATCTTACTCATGTGGGGGATTCCATTTTCTTAGCCATGTACACTTATATAAATATGTATTATAGAATCAGACATTCGAGGCATTAGATTGGCCAAGTTTTAGCTCCAGAGTGATCCTCTGACCCATGCTGCAGGTGAATATTAAAGTGAAGTGGGCCTCGTGGTACAGAAGGAGGGGTTACCTCTCAGTACCTTCCCACGCTCTGTTGCCGCTCAGGTATCCCGAGCGGATCCAGGCCTCGCTGCACCGAGCCCGCTGCTTCCTCCCGGCCGGAATCGTGGCCGTGCTGAGGCTGCGCCCGTCCCTGGTGGCTGCGGCAGTCCAGGCCTTTTACCTGCGGGATGCGGGCGATTTACGGGCCTGTCGGCGCCCCTTCAGAGCCTTCCCTGCCGAGCAGCGAGTGATGGCCCTGGTAAGTGCTCTCTGGAGCCGCTGATGGCCCTGCTGTGCTCCTCTAAAGCCTTTGATACCCTGGTATGTGCTCTTCTAACTCACTTAATTCCCTTCTGTCACTGACAAGGGTTCTGTGGCCAGTGGTATAAACACAAAGATTTAACTTAAAACTGCCAGTTTTCTGTTGTTTTTTTCCTTTCTGGCTCTAGAGATTAATTTCCAGGTTATTACATTTATAGCTTCTCTGGGTCAATGTGGCTGGACTTTGAAGGGGCTGATAATGAGACAATTGTTTCTGTAACCAGAGGTTGTGATTATATTTCCTCTGCTGAAGTGCCTACTTGAGTAATTTGATCTCCTTGTGTGATCAGAGCAGTTTGACAGCACTGCCAGCCAAAATGAGGAGTTGCTTCTAACCAGTGGTTCTCTTCAAGGCCTTCCACTGTTGCAGAATTTCTGAGAGACAGAAGTCATGATTTATGTTTGGAATAAGGTTTGAGCTACCCAGTCAGACTAGGCCCTGATAAGCGGCTTTGATGGGGTCTCGAAGCCTTTGATGCAGTGAGAATTCAGTTGTGGCGCAGATAGAAATTGTATTAAGGTAACTACAAAGTAATCAGCTATCTGAGCATGAATTAGAGTAGAGCTGCAGTGTGAAAAGTTTGACCACCTTAAGGAAAAGGTTTATTTTCTATTTGGTAGTAGGTAGGGGTTTTATTATAAAAATTATAAATATAAATAAAATAAAATTAGAAATCTATGTATAGAAATATATCCTAAATACGCTAAGATCTATATAAAAATTCAAAGGTAAGTAAATATAAGTATCCACATAGCGGGAGGACCCGTGACTACAAGAATGATGAATTCTCAGTTGATCCTGAACTTGATCCTGGATCTACTGCGCCAGCTGAATCTCTACAAATATATGGGCCCTGATAGGATTTGTCCAAGAATTCTCAAATACCTAGCTGATGCCATTGCAAAGCCTCTCTCAAATGATGATTCAGACTGACCCCTTCTGACTCAGCATATTTTATGATCACTGTTCCTGTTTTATATTAATTTTGCTTATCTGTATAGAGGGCCCAGAACAAGGGCAAATCAAGTCTGATTAATAATTCCTGTTTACACTCTTATGCCACTGTCATGTTTTTAAACACACATTTTCTTATAGCTCATTATTTGGTGGCAACATTTGTGATATTGTAACAGAAGAAGAAATGTATTAAATGTATTGATTTATTTACCTGTTCACTATAGCGTAATTGGTGAATGTCTCTTCAATTGCAATAATGTAATGGATGTGACAATGGAGTTTTATCACTGAGTTCTACAAGTGTTATTTTCTCATCACTTGAATGGAAGTAGAAATATTAAGACCTCAGCTGAACAAAAAGACTGGTGTAGATTGTGCAAAGCAATTGACTTTCATAAGCTTGCAGAGTAATTCATCAAATCCTCTAAAAATAATGGAATCTCTTTTCCACTTCCCCACTTGTGTTGGAATAAAATACTTAAAATAAGAAGAAAATTATATACTATAAATGCAGTTCTTTTGCATGCAGTCATCACTATGATTGCTTGACTAGAAAATCACAACACTCTATGGGTTTGTTTATAGAGGAAAGAGTTCGAGAAAGGAAAAAAACCTCAGCAGCCAGAGAAAACATGACATGACTGCATAATACCCATGCATGACAGTGCTTCACAACCACTTAATAAACTACAGAAACAGTCAAAGGGTCATTCATTTCTAAAAAAATCAAATACCTAGCAGACAACCCCCTAGATAACCTGCCAGTCTTCATTTCCAAGTTCTTTACTGTCATTAAAAGAGCTGAATTCAGCATGATTAATTTAAAAAGCATTCTAGATCACTGTTAATTAGTTGCAGTATGCCTTTTACTCACCTGTCAGTGTTTCCTTTCTTTTTGACTAATGCACTATGATGATAAATAATATGTTTTACCCCATGTTTTGCCAACTATGCTTTTCCAAATTTTAATCATTTATTATTGTTTATATTCCAGAGACACATGTGTCATCTTGACAACCATTTTTCAGGATGTAGCTTAGCAGGTATTTTGCTTAGCCGGTAGACTTTACATTTTCAAATGTTTGTCCTCTTAAATCCATTTTCCAAATAATATGAAAACTTGAATCTGAACTTTTCTGAAATTGATGGGTCTTCAATTGTATCTAAAAAAGTATCTTATGGGGTTTGTTAAGAATATATTCTTAAGAAATATATTAATATAATGTTTGTGTGGGAAGAATCCAAGTGTCATATCTAGATTTTTTGGCATGACTGAAAGCCCAGTACATGTGTGAATAGACACAGTCCTGCAAAATAGATTCTGACCCAGCCATTTTTCTGTCTACTGTTGTTTGTGGGCACAAGCAGTTCGCATTAGAGGCAGCTGGCCACAAGTATAATGAAAATAAGCTAACTGGTTGCAAGAACAGGAAATGTTCCCCAAAGCAGATCAAAAATGTAGTACAGGCTAGCTAAAGTTATGAGTAACAAGGCTGTTGAAATGCTCAGACATACTTCTGAACAATGATGAGACTTTGGGTTGAAAAAATAGAATGTAGATGATGGTTGGAAACAGTGAACGTCTCAGTGTTTTGAGGCATAACTGACTGGCTTTGGTTAATATGAATTATTATTACCAGTTATTTTATTTAAAGAGATTGTGTTAAAATGTTTGGATATCTGTCAATTTATTTGCTAAGATCAGCTTGCCCTTGATTTTGACTTCATATATCATAGTATAAATATGGGCAGATTGGAATGGTTTTTTGTGTTTCACAGGATATGTTGCATTATGTTTTATGACAAACATTTGCATTTAAAATATATTCAATCAAGTATGCTAGTTACTCTACATGTAAAGTTCAAGCAGAGTGTGTCACCTGTGGTGCAAAAGCTATTCTGTTGATAGGATTTTTAACAGTAAGCAGCTCAACTGCATTTAGAAATATGATTGCTATTTAAAGAAATCTCAGAAAGATAAAGAGCATATCTAATAATTTACATCTTTCTTACGTGACAGTGAAGAAGCATGCAAAGCATAACTGAGTTAAGTTGATATAACAAAGACATTGGTCACTGAAGGTTTTCTGTAGCCAGATGCTTAATTTGATTTGTTTTTTGTTTTATAAATGTATTACCCAAATTAGACATCCAAAAATGCATTTTGAAATTGAATACCAGAGAATAATTCAAGGTTGATGATGAGTGTATTATGAACAGTTAAACTTCTTTGTTCAGACATTTTGAAAATATGTATCATTACACCTGATTTAAAAGTGTAAAAAAAGGAGGAGGACTCCAGGAAGTATTGACCAATCATTCTCACCTCCATGCCCAATAACAAAATGGAACATATTTTTCTGGAAGATATATTGAAATATATGAAAGATAGAGATATGATTAGAGACAGGCTTTAAACTAAGAGTAGATTTAGCTTTCACATAAATATGAAATTTTTTACAATACAGGTGGTGAGACAGTAAAGAAGCTGTAATTTCCAGATCACCAAAAGAGTTCAAAGTCAGGCTGGATAGGGCTTTGAGCAACTTGATCTAGTGAGTGATATTCCTGGCCATAGCAAATGGTTGAACTAGATGATCTTTAAAGGCTGTTTACAACTCAAACCATTCTGTCATTTTATATTATTCCTAAAAATTATATTTTTGTGTTGAAATAAGTTGAGGGATTTAATGAATTGCTGCCATTTTTACTATGATTCAATCTAACTGCTAAGTACTGTAAAACAGAGTCTTGCTATCACTGGGGGTAAAAGGAAATTAATATATTATCTTCTACAAGTAGAGAGTGGAATAAAGAATAATTGAAATTTGTGAAAAATAAACTATTAGAGCTGGTTAAAATTTATAGTTTATAAAATAATCTTTCCTAATAATGACTGAAGAAGTTACTGAGCAGCAAATAAAATATAACTTCTGACTACAAGAGGCAGAAAAGTAGAAGAATAATGGTCCCCTGATAGTAATTTTGACATTGTCATTGTTGCAAATTAGGATTGAACTCGCTCTTCCTAGCACACCATTGCAGCTGTGCTATCAATCATTACACTTCTTACAAAGAGAATCAGTTTTTATAGTTTTAAAATTTTATTAAATCTAATGAGGGAATGCCTTGAAATTAATTCAATACTGTGGTTTCATAAAGATTAACAGTACATGTCCTTTTTGTGCTATGGCAAAAGAAGATAGACTCTGGCTCTGATTAAAACCATAGAAAGAACACATATATGTTTACAGACATAAAACAAAACTGGGCAGAATTTCCTAGTCTGATGTCATGGCTCAATTCATAGAACCATGGAATCAGAGAACGGTTTGTGTTGGAAAGGACCTGAAAGGCCATTTAGTTCCAACCCCACTGCTGTGGGCAGGGACGCCTTCAACTAGAACAGGTTGTTCAGTGACCCATCCAAACTGACCCTAAACACTTGCAAGGATGGTACATGCACAGCTTCTCTAGGCAACCTAGTCCAGTACTTCAGCATTCTTAAAGTAAAAATTTCTTCACTATATCTAATGTAAGCCTATTCTCTTTCAGTTTGAAGTCATTTTCCTTTGTTCTGTCACTACATGCCCTTGTCAATACTCTCCAACTTTCTTTTGGGCTGTTTTCAGGTACTGGAAAGCTGCTCTAAGGTCTTCCCAGAGCCTTGTCTTTTCCAAGCTGAACTTCCTCAACTTTCTCAGTCTGTCTTCCTAGCTCTCTCTAGCTCTCTGGTCATCTTCATGGCTTTCCTCTGGACTCATTCCAAGGTATGCATGTCCCTCTTATGCTGGTAGTCCCAGAGCTGAACACAGTACTCCATATGGAGAGTAAAGAGGAATAATCACCTCCCTTGACCTGTTAGTTAGGTTTCTTTTGATGCATCCCAAGATATGGTTGGATTTCTGGTCTGAAAACCTACATTACCTGGTCATGTTGAGTTTCTTTTTGAATCACACATCCAAGTCTTTCTCTGCAGAACTGTTCTCAATCAATTTTCTTCCCAGTTTGGGATTTGCGCTTGGGATTGCCCTGACCTACATGGAGGCTATTGCACTTGCCTTGTTGAACTTCATTAAGTTCATATAGGCTTGCCACTGAAGCCTGTCCAGGTCCCTGTGGATTTTGGGACTGTCAATAAATCTGTTGAGAGTGCACTCAATTTCACTGTCCATGTCAACAACATGGATATTTAACAGCACTGGCCCCAGTATGGGTCTCTGAGGAGCACCACTCATCACTACTCTCCGCTTGGACATTGAGATTTGACTGCAATTCTTTAAATGTGACCATACAGCCAATTCAAAATCCACCAAGCAGATATTCCATGTCTCTCCAGTTCACAGACAAGAATGTCATGCAGGACCGTGTCATATGCTATGCACTAGAGCAAGTAGATGCTATCAGTTGTTCTTCCCTTGTCCACCAAAACCTTCACCCTCCTGTACAAGGCCACTAACAATTTCAGACACTTCAGATATTTGTTGCAGACCAGCTTTTGTCTTATATATAGGCCTTTAAATAACACATTCTTTATATGTGAGAAGTCCTTCTCTTTAAGGGAAAAAAAAGTTGTCAGATGCCTTTGAGTGACAGATTCCTTCCCT